TTGTCGTTCTTGAGGACTAAGATGGTTTACCTCGTTTCCAGTAAAAAGGGTCTCCGGTTCTCTACACTCACTCTCAGAAACACAGCAGTATTAAGCTACTGTTTCACACTGATATACTGTGAGAGCGTGGTCCTTCCCCGGTCGAGCTGACCCATTCGTGCTACAACTATAATATAGCAGCAGCGTGGCTCTATAACGTAAATACAGTGTATATAACGTAAATACAGTGTATATAACCTGAAAACAATTTCACTTTTTACGAGAGTGACAAACGACCAGTTATTTCACCTGATAGTAAGAAGATGTCGGGGCCCATAGACACTAACATCTATCATTGATTAAGCATCAAAATGTAGATGTACTCATATGTTTTGGGTTTTGTCTTTCTTTCAAAGAAAGATAATCATATCGTCAGTCTCTAAAACCTAGGTAACATTTGTAAAGATTAGCGCCGTTCAGAGATTAAATTAATTAAATTGGCCCTGTTTAATTAAATTAAATATTTGTAATAGTTCCATCCACGGTCGTTAGACAAAAGCATTAACAAGATGGTGCCTGATTGAACAATGACATAGTTTCGAAATAATAGTTCTTTTTAAATACATTAACTTTTTGTAGCGGTTAAGTAACATGGTATACAATTAAGTAGGCCGGTACAATTGAAACCTAATGCATATTGATATTATTAAATTTAATATGACATTGTAATAGTTACGCAAGAGATTTAATGATGCATTTGGTTTTAATAAAAGCGGCATATATACTACTTTTATCACTTTCGTAGATTATTGTGAATCTACAGTTGATCATAACCGAATTACTAATTACTCAAACATAATTTTTCGATTCAATTTAAATTCCTCTGAGTCCATAGAAGTGATAACGCATAATATGCAACATTTTTTTGAAGTTGGTTGCAATGAGGGTATCCGCGACTTTTTCTCCACCAGAGCGGTGCCACTTAAAAATGAGGTGTAATATTCATAGATTTCATTTGTATGAAAAACATGTACAGGTTAATGTTTATTTCTGTACTATTAGTTGTATTTTGTATTAATACGGTAAAAATTAATAAACTAACTAGCAGATATACATAAGTGTAAAATATTAAAGAGCAAACCACTGACTCAGTGTTTTGTGTATTAATTTAAGGCTCTAGAAACTGATAAGATACCGAAAGACTGTAAGTTAATTTGTCACACATCAGTATTAAGAGTTCAAAAGATATTTTGTGGAAATTAGTATATTTTTTTAATAATATTTATCTTTTTAAAATCATTTTTTTGAACTCTTTTAAATAAACAAATGTATTGTAAGTTCATGGTTATAACTATAGCTATTATTCCACCAATACAAAATATGTTTGAGTAATTATAATCAATATAATTTTATTATCAATTTTTTACGTAGTAGAGTCATGCTGCAGGTATACTGTAGTTGTAGCACGAATGGGTCGGCTCGACCGGGGAAGGACCACACTCTCACAGAATACCAGCATAAAATAGCAGCTTAATGCTGCTGTGTTTCGTATGGTGAGTGTAGAGAACCGGAGATCCTTTTTACTGGAAACGAGGCATTCCATCTCAGTCCTCAGGGCTGGCAACGCGATAAATGTAGATGTCTATGGGCCACAGCATTCACTTACCATCAGGTGGGCTGTGTGCTCGTTTGCCACCCCTATTCTGTAAAAGAAATCAGTTTAAATAGTAATTTATATTACAATATTTATAAATTTTGCACTAAATGGATGGGAGTATGTAAAAGTCATCAATGTATCTCATCGCGCGAGTCGTATGAGTCAATAGATTATATGGAAATGTTGGGAAAGATGGCCGTCGTGTTCTACAATGTCGTTCACTGTGCTCCACTGCGTGCTAGCTGATTCATATTTGCTTCTTTATGCGTGGTAAAGCTACGCTGAAGCTATATTGATGTCGTAGCAAGGTAGGTACCACGTTTTCACAGAATACCAGCGTAAAATAGCAGCTTAATTGAGCTGTGTTTAGTATTGTGAGTGTAGAGAACCGGATACTTTTTTCACTAGAAACGAGGCATTCCATTTTAGTCCTCAGGGGTGACATTGATCCTTAATCAATTATAAATGTAGACCTCTATGGACTACGGCAATAACTAACCATAAGGTGGACTGTGTGTTCGTTTATTACCCACGTTCTATAAAAAAATATAAATGTAATTTTAAATGTTGGGAAATTATTTTTAATCGTGAAATGTGGTTTTAATACTCTGTTGAAACATATTTCAAATGATGAATTCGAGTTTATGTACTACCGACGGTGAACGACCGTTGAAGAAGATTCCATGACATTGACTGTGCTTTGCCTGCTTCAGTTGACAAAGTAGTTAATAGTCGTTAAGGTCATGGTAGTTTGGAGTGGTTTGTTTCATTAAATGACATTTATATTCTTGTAGGTAGGAGACCGACAATTAATAATATTATTTAAAAATTGCAACACTCGTACAATATCTTTAGGATTTTAGATATTTGTTACTCAATCACACTAAAGAGAAACAGAGCAAAAAAAAATATCTTATTTTCCCAGACCAAATATTTTTCTGTATATCTCAGTTATGGTAAAAAAAGGTGAGCGATGCTGTTGGGGAAAGCTACTTTGAAATTATTTGTAAAGTAACAAAATTTTTGCTATTCGATATTTTATATTATATGATGTATACTTTTTAATGATTTTAAAGCAGTGCTATATTATATTGTATGTGATTATAGTGTGTAGCGGCGTTGTAGTCGCGCCACTAGCACACCGAAACACATCGAAGCCTAAATCGCGCTATTAACATTCCGAATCATAGACAGTATATATAGAACTTCTCCGAACTATCACTCGGAGTGTTGGCCGCTCCCCGGGCATAACACTGCCCGGCGGGAGATCTCCCATTTACCTTCTACGGCCACAAGTGTATGTGATGTATCACTGTTACGGCTAAGCTTAGTATAAAAAATAAACCTCAGATAATCTAGCTAAACTTTCGTTTCGGTTTGTTCGTATCTATTTATTTATTTATTATCTACACAAAGTGTGTGTTTTACACTTGTTATAAAAATTATATAGTTGACACATTGCCCATTACACATTAACCATTTCTATCGTATTCATTTTGATCCGGAAAGATCACTGTTTGTTGTCGATATTCGGATGAGGAGTGCGAGGAAGCTAACATACAATTTGCAAATAAAATTTATTTTGCTAATAAGAATATTAAAATTTTACATAAATAATAGCAAGATCACAAAAACATATTATTTATTCCTATTTCCTATTTAATAACTAAAAAAGCTCCTAAAACGCCTTTTCTTTCAAATTTATTGATTTATTGGATAATATCTAATCGATTAGTTTAGTTCCACTGCGAACATCTTCATCGTATCACGCAGAGAAACTAATATGCGTATCAAATTTGTCTCAATCAAAGGTTTTTCTTAACTTTACATAATCGGTAATTAACTGGTTAAGGTTAGTAGTAATTGATGGTTTCACGGCGCCAATGGCTTAGCATTGAATTGCATCGCTGAAGACCGTAGATTTGAATATCGCATGCAACAAAAATTATTTGTATTGCCTACAAATAATTGTCCGGATCTGGATGTTTGTCCTTGCGCTATTTATTTATGTAAACTGCCGCTACCAGGAGCAAATACTAATGTTTTTTTAAGTTCAAATCATTCGTGAAGCGTTTAGTTGTTATGTTATTATGTACATAAAACTATAATATTTTTTTAGACCGTAAAAGCTGTGATTTGTACGATTTTCTTTTTGTGTATGTAAATAAATAATTATTATTGTTTACCATCAAAATAACACCTATTTAAAAATTAATAAATAATTATTTTTCGTTTTAAATCTTCGAATTTGACCTTAAGTAAACAATCGTGTGATTTGTTACAAGTACAAAACATTTATTTTACGCGTATGCAGTTATGAAACCTTTTAATAAACTGTATAATTAACGTATTTTATAGTCAAGATTGATACAAAATATTTAAAATATGGCGGCTCAGGGACTAATCACTTATTTTAAATTTAAAAATATTTAATAAAAGTAGCCAGAGTTAGGCGCAAGATTTACTGTCTTTATTTGAGAAATAAAACAAATATATCTTATTTATAACAGTTTTATACCCTTTATCATCAGTATCTTTGAGTTGGCCGCTGGATATTATACCTTTTTGAAAATATATCAAATGATGAGTTTCTCAAAAAAATCCTAGGCTAACCCTAACCTAAAAATTATAAGCTAACGCTGGTAGGATAATCCCATATATCAACCCGGGACACCGGCGTTGAACACGGCACGCGTCTGGAGCATAATGTCTGGTTAGACCAACCAGGCATTATGCACCTATGAGTGGTTGTAAACGGGATTACTGATCATGCGGTCCTAGATTTGAATTCCGGGTGAGGCTAAAAATCAGTTATTGGGCTTTTCTGTCACGAAATTCTCACTAGCAAAGTCATGACTTTGACGATATTATAATCCCGTACCTCAGAAAGCACGTAAAGTCGTTGGTCCACGCACGATCTCTCTCCGATGCTGTCGGATTGGCATTGGACTATGAAAGTGACGGAATAGCGAGTGCATCTGTGTTTGCGCATGCACTCGGGCATTATAAACCTGTCTAGTGCAGGTAGCTCTCCGTTAAGATCAGCCACTACTCTGGAGGACACTTTTATTATCCATACATTATAGCCTGTAGAAGACCACTGCTGGCCTATATATATATATTGGCCTCTCCCATAGATTGCCTTATGAGGAGGATTTTATCATACTTGCCACGCTTGGCAGGTTTGCAACCGCAGTTTTTTTGACCCACAGAAAGATACCATGTCCATCTTCTCACATAAATTTCCTCTGTCACCTCTTACGGCACCCACGGGACGAAATGAGGTAGTGGATATTCTCAACCGCCACTACACGGGTATATTATTGTTTATTGTAGTTATTTAATATGTACAATTTGGTTACAGGTGTTGTGTCTGGTGACGGCAGCTCTAGCAGCAGGACTAGAGGCGCGCACTCGACCGCGCCTGCAGCAACCCGTCGACGACGCATACGAATACGAACAGCAGGCACCGCAGAGAGGTGGTGGGGTAGGTGCTCCTTATGTCAAATATATTTTCCTGCACTGAGATTCTTCTTTTAGTTTCTCGGAAACGGCTAGGGATTGCAATCCAAAAACCCGGATCCGGTAATCCGGTAATCCGGTGGAACCGGCATCATTAAACGTCTACGGATCCGAACAGTCTGTTCAAAAAGTATCGCGAATTTTGTATTTTTTCGAAAAGTATTTAGTTATTCATGAATATCTATTTTGTATTCTACAAAGTAATCCCCCTCGGATATAATGCACTTATGCCAACGTTTTTTCCAATCCTTGAAGCACTTATGAAAATAATTTTTCGTAATCTCCTTCAGCTCCTCCTTCGATGCCGTCTTTATCTTCTCAATCGTGGCGTAGCGTCGTCCTTTCATGGACCTCTTCAGTTTTGGGAACAGGAAAAAGTCACAGGGGGCCAGGTCTGGGGAATACGGTGGCTGTGGGACCATTAATGTGTTGTTTTGGATAAATATTCATAACCATAAACCCATGATTCGTCACCAATTATGACCCTCTGGAGCACATTTGGGTGATGTTTTTGTTCGAAATTGAGCAATTTTGGCACGAATTTCGCGGCGACCCGACTCATGCCCAAATCATTACTTACAATTGAATGGCACGAGCCAATCGATATGTTTAGGTCCTCAGCAACTTCTCTAACGGTAATTCGACGATTGATCCATAATATTTTCTTCATTTTATCAATGTTATCGTCTATTGTTAACGTGCTCGGGCGTTCGGCACGCCGTTCGTCGTTCACATCTTCTCGGCCCTCTGAGAACATTTTGTACCACCGATAAACGTGGCTTTGGTCCAAGGTAGCTTCAACATATCACACAATCAACATTGGGAATGCGTCCGCGCATTTTATTTTGTTTTTCACACAAAATTTAATATAGATTCTTCAATCCATTTTTTGGAATAGGGAAAAATCGAAGACGAGCCAAAACACATCCCAGCAAAACAGCTGTAAAAAATTAACTAAACATTCAAAATGGCCAACCTTGTCAGCATATGTAAGGGACATAAGTACCAACATAACGCTACAAAAAAAAACAAAAATCAAATATACGTAGCCCGCGGAAATTCAAAATTCGCGATACTTTTTGAATAGACCTCGTAGTTCGTCCGTTCGTCCATCCGGATCCAATCGTAAAATCCGTTACATAAAAAATACATACATATAGAAACTTCTTGTTCAAATGTGTTTTTATAATAATTTAACCTTAAGTAATAATTTTAAATAATTATATTTAAATTAGAAGGAGTTTAGACTCATTCTTGTGATTATAGTGCCATTTTTAAAACGGTATAATCATTGTAATAATTTTGAGGATAAAACTGCTGGTGTGCCTAAGTTACATAATTGAATTGAGATTGATTTAGTTATATTGAATATGAATCACTTACATTACAAGTTATGATTAATGACATTTGCTCTAACTTAACTGCCTATCAATAAGTATGTTATTATATTAATATAAATATTACAGCTTAACTACGCGTAAAATCACGATGCTAGATTTATTGTTGATTAGAGATTGTATGTTGATTATTACAGTTTATATAAAATTGATTTCATAAGAAATAAACGTTTTATAAACTGAGTAATATTGAATCATTTGAATATATTTTATGTAGCTAACTTCAGAATCAAAAGGCAAAATATGTTTGATGTGACCGCATCAACCGGATCGAAATTGGTGCTGAATTGCAATCCCTAGCACGGCTTTAACGGTTTAAATGAAATTTTGTATTAATGTAATGTTATACTTCTCAAGTCTACTGGATAGGTGTCATCGCTGAAAAATGTTTCTACATGACATTTACTTATTGTTACTCATCAATTTCTTCCGGTCAAATCAAACGTTTATGAAACATTAACATTTTGCGGATGCATACAAAGTTTTACACGGTAGAGGCACACTGCAGCTACGTATATTATAGTAGTAGCACGAATGGGTCAGCTCGACCGGAGAAAGGACACGTTCTCACATAACAACAGCGCAAAATAGCAGCTTAATGCTGCTGTTTTTCGTATGGTGAGTGTAGACAACCGAAGGCCCTTTTTACCGGAAACAAGGCATTCCATCGCATCGATGACAATGCATCTGCATTTTGATTCTTAGACAAAAATAAATTTAGATGTCTAAGGACCTCAGCATCCACTTACTATCATCAAGTTGACGTTTTGTTAATTAATTGCTTTTGCGCTTAATTAAGAGCAAATAACCAAAAAAACGTTTAACTTGTATTAGTAGGAAACATAAACACGAAGGGGGGAAACCAAAAAAAAAAAAAAAAAAAAAAAAATTTTTTTTTTTTACTGTACACTCGTATGTCATCTACATACTATATAAAAAATACAGTTATGGATCACTAATCATTACTGTCGAGAGCCTACACTTCTCATTCATCAGCTTTTATAACTCCATTGCTGAACATAAATTCCTTCCGTTGTAAAGAAGATTAGCTCATAATTACAGCAGAGTAAAAAAATCATTACCATCAACATTTTCTTGAATATAGAAGTAGTTATTGTAATTCTCAAGGCTACAGAAAAGCTTCAATATTTTTTTTATAAAAGTGAAGTACGAACGACTTACACGACTTGAAGTCCATCTGATGGTAAGTGGTTACTGTAGGCCACTGTAGCCAATTTTAAACAAAGATGGCTACAGGCGCGTCATTACGCGATTAATATGGAATACCACAGAGCTTGTAATTGTACTAGCTCTCTACATTCCTTACGTGGTAGAGTCAAGCTGTATAATGATTGTAGAAAAGGTGGTTTGGGTTAATCAGGGAAAAAAGACGCTCTCGCAGAATACCACGTAAAATGGCCGTAAGTGCGGAGTGTAGAGAACCGAAGACACTTTTCGCTGGTACGCCACCTTGGTCTTTGGGAGTGACAGCGCATCTGCATTTTGACTCATTAATCAAAGATAGATGTAGATATCTATGGACCACCGCAGCCTCTTACCATCAAGTGTATGTGCTTGTTTGTCACCCTTGTACAAAAAGGGTAAACACAGCAGGCGTATGTTACGTAACTTAACTACTGATTAAAGAATAAATATCCTCCATCCCCATCCCCATATCTGACAATATTTTTCGTTCCCAAAAATACTAATGCAGTAATCCATCGTACATATATGAATATAGAGTTAAATTTGCAACTTGTAAATTTCCAGGGGGTGCTAGTACAAGGCGATTCTTACGATGACCTGTATCGCGCTGCAGACAGGATCGACGAGGACTACGAGCCACAAGCTATACAGCGGGCCCCGTTGAGATACAAGCAGCAGCAGTCACAGCAGCAAGAAGGACCGAAGCAGCCGCCAGTGCAGACTATTCGCAACTTCAATAGAGTCAGTATCCGCTTCTATATAGTTATATTTATTCATTCAATTTAGAAGTTGTTATGACAGGTCCAATGTTTGGTAGACGAAATTTTCAACATATCTTTGCATTTTGAAATCTACGCAGTTCAGTTCAACTGTTTTATTAGGATGTCTCTAAGAGTATGCATAAGCTAGCTTAATGGTTTCTTATATTAAGGCGAATATTATACATTAAATGAAACAAATTTTACGGAATTTATCGTTTTTTTTTAAATTACTGACAAGTTGGGTTGTTTTAAAGCACTACAAGTCGTCCCATGACCATGAGTACTGTAAAGCATCTTAAAGGTCGGGAATAAAAAATGTTAAATTAAACGATAGCTAGCTTGCTTATGTCTACTCTAAGGGATGCCTTTAATTTTTTAATAAAATTGGACTGACTTTTTTAAAATAATTTGAAATACAAGCTAATTGTCCTCTTGATAGTTACTTTAAATATAATTTCTACATTTTTTTTACTGGGCACGGTCAATGTTTGAGTTGGCTCGACCGCCAGAATATCAGCGTAAAATCGCATCTTAATGCTACTGTGTTTCGTATGGTGAGTGTAGAGAGGCGGAGATCCTTTTTACTGGAAACGAGGGATTCCATATTAGTCCTCAGGTGTGACAACGTATCTGCATTTTGATTCTTAATTGAGGATAAATGTGAAACTCTATGGGCCATAGCAACCACTTACCATCAGGTGGACTATGTTCTTGTTTATAATCCTTATTCATATTAATAAATCAACAGTTAGAAAATAATCATACCCCCAAAAGCCGTTAATTACCACATCCCTAAAAAGATAAACCTATTAATATACTACATATCAATTATATGTAGAGGGTCACAATTCACAAAATACCCCCTACCCATATAAAAATGCCAAGAACACAACTACCAACTACAACACTGCAATGGTTTGACTGCTCTTGTGCGTAATGCTTCAGTTTTTGAATGTACAAGTTCGCGAAGTCGCGCACTTCATCAATTTCTATAACGGTAGTTTAAGGTAACACTGTGCTCGAAGTTTTTGACTAGTATTTGTAACTAGAATAAAATATTCGATTAGGCAAATCGGCCAAGAAGTCAACCGACGAATCCAATTCTTCCAAATCTCGTCCGATATACATGGTCTTTCACTGCTGGCCGTGTGAGGAAACTCAAGGTTGCTCAGTGAACGATGGAAAGGGCAGTGCTCGAAATTTCTCTGCATGATAAAATCCGCGGCGAAGATATATTCGCGGAAAAACTAAAGTAACCGACATAGCAAGCCGAGAGTGTCGTAAATAGGTAGGCCATATAGTTGGAGAAACCGTGAATTAAGTTGGAAAAGTACTCGAGTGGCAGCCTTGTACTGGCAAGGAGTTAATAACAGACACAGACTTGTGGAGGGCGTAAAATTTCATCATAAACTATATACGTCCGTACTTTGTATCCTTTTTCTTAAGTAAACAAGAAAAATAAATCTCTTACACCTTATTAACCCTTCAATCCCCATAAAAATCTCGTGAAGTCGCCACCCACCCGCAGCACTTAAAACCATTAAAACTTATATTTAGAGACTAGTTTTCTATGAAAAAGTTTAGCATTATAAAATCTATACAAAATTCTCTATATAAAAGTCAGGTTTTACTTCATTACAAAAATACTATTGTATTTAGAAAACAAGAAAAAAACATACCAAGCGAATGTCGGCAGCGTGAAGGTCACAATTATTTCAATATATTACTAATTAACACAAAAACTTTCCTTACAATTTTATAATAAAACACTAGAAAAATCCAAAAATCAACACAATAACATTCACGCGAAAATGGCGTACGTAATGAATTGAAAATAACTGTTTTTTTATTGCACTAGAGGGTCGAACTTTTTATATTGATTCTATAACGCCAAACTTCTTCATAGAAAGGTAGTCTGTAAATATAAGTTTAAATGGTTTAAAGTGCTGTGGGTGTGCGGGTTCGAATCCGACCGCTTGAAATTTGACGGAATAGCGCCGCGGTTTGAAGGGTTAAGTCCACTCTGAACATAAGCCTCCTCCAAACGTAGACCTTTTCCTCCATAAAATAAAAAAGCAAACTTAATTAAATATGTTTTTAAGCATTTTGCGCGCGTTAGCTTTTGTAGGCGTTGTTAAAGCCTGTATTTGAGCTCATTATCCAAGCAGCTCCATGATACCATATTATTACAAGTTAACAAGTACTTCAAAAATTGATTGCAAATTGTTAACTTGAGAGACATACGAAATAGCAAATTAAATAAAAGCTTTTTCATTCCATGGCAACGACGACGAATGACAAAATACGCACACACACATTTTGATCAATAATTTCAGCATCATATTCTCTTGTTCAAAATATACGTTGCTATATTTATACCCATGCACAATAATTTTGAATAAGAGTGTAATATGTAGAATCATATAATTTGAAATGTTAGTCTTTTAACGGAATAGTTTTCATCTAATTTTATTTATTTTTTGTGTATGTAAAGTTACAGATACTGTACGTCTAACGGCTGGGCACAGGCCTCTCATTAATAGGAAAAAAAAACTGCGGTTGCCATCCCGTATGAAAAGAGTGGCACCCCTGTAGCAAATATTCTCCATATGGGGTAATCCATGGGGGAGGGCTATGTTAAGTAGGGCCTTTAGATGTGCTGTGACGATAACTGGCTGAAGAAGTATAATAAAGAAAAGAATGAAAAAATTTTAATCTTTGCGTATCGATATTCATTTATTTTATCTGGAAATTAATAAAGTGATTCGGTCCCTTACTACAATTACGTTAGCATTAATTTTCTAAATGTAATTTAACTGTCTCTTGTTGACAATTCCAGGTAAACGATGACGGCAGCTTTACATTTGGGTATGAATCAGCTGACGGTTCCTTCAAGGAGGAAACCAGAGGTACTGACTGCGTTGTTCGAGGCAAGTACGGTTACGTCGACCCCGATGGCAACAAACGAGAGTTCACCTACGTCTCCGGCAATCCTTGCGACCCTAACAATCCCAATGAGGAAGAGGAGCCTGAATCAGCAGCTCCCGAATCCGCTGAAAGAGATGATGGCGTACCCAACTATCCCACAAGACCCGCGGTGCGTCCCACAACTGCGAGACCCCAGACCACCTACTTCCAAAACGACTTCAGGGACGCTGATGAAGAGGAACCAGAAGAAGAACAGCTCCAACAGATAAGACCTAGGATTGTTCAACGCCCTGTTGTCAGAAGACCAACTTACCATCAACAGCCACAGCAGATCGCCATCACACCACGACCAGTCCCTGTAACTACCGCTAGGGCCCTTCCACCAGCGACTACCTTCAGACCACAATTGATTCAAGTGACACCCAAGCCTCAACTCCAGTATCAGCCACAGCATCAGCCTCAGCATCAGGCGCAACCTCAGCCTCAGCATCAGGCGCAACCTCAACCTCAGATCCAATATAGTCCTGCACCAAATTACTCTCCATCTCCTTCTCCAGTTGCTGTGACAACTGGAAGACCGAGTCAAATAGATTTCGCAGCGGAATTTGCCAAATTCCACCAGGAAAATCAATACCAATCGACTACACCTGCGGCTTTGAACACGCAAGGAAAAACTACCATTACCGCGGCAGCTCCAAGCGGAAATCCTCTATACTCTACTGAATTGGTCTATGATCCTTCAAGTGGACAATACAACACCCAACTTTACCAGACCTTGCCGCAAACGAAGGGAGAATTAAACTTGAATCAAAGATTGCAGCCGTTTGTTGCTCAACAGCAACCACAGCGCCAAAGGCCCTTTATTCCCTCTCCCCAAATTTCTGCTGATCCAACTGGAGCGAGTGCGCCTCTTTACAGACATCAGCTCGCGAATCCTCAAGAGGTCTACCAGAGACAACAATCCGAATCTCAGTTCCAAAGCTCTCAGCAATTGTTTGCCCAGCAACAGCAGTTACAGCAGACTCAGTTGCAAAGAGACAGGGCCGCAGCCAGAGCTCAAGCACAGAGATTGGCAGCTCAAGTCCAGCCCGTTCAGAGCCAGTCCGCACCAAGGCCAGCCCCTCAATATTATTATGTGGCCCCCCGCGGAGAATCGCCGTCTTCTGGCCAGATCGACGCCTTCTTGAGAGGACACGGCATCCAGTTCTAGACGTAATTAAAAACTCTTCAAACTATCGACCGATCGATTTAGTCCGGAATGGCCATAACGTATATAAAAGTAAAATTTTCTCGGTCGTGTAGTTTGTGTGCGGATGTGTGTGCAAATATTTAGTTTTTGGGACAGTGTGGCTGCATTTGTACATATAACACCGTGTCTCTTGTACCTTATTGTAACTCTATAGTTCGTTCTCCATCAGCTGAGTCTCCAAACCGTTAATCTCATTCTTTAGTCGCAGCGCATGGTATATATAATATAGATAATTTTATCGATATTTATGTATATTAATGTTAAAAATATAACTAGTTTTGCTCTGTAAGATTCGTTAGTGTGAAAGAGAAGGCTTATAAAAATTTATTGTAAGATCCGTTAGCATGAAGGAGAGGGCCTATAAAAATTAAATGGCTTGGGGACTTAGTTTATAAGGACATCATTAATGTAAACGCTAGTTATAAGTGTAAAATGTAAAAGAACGAAATCGTTTGTACGTGATAGTCTCCGACCGTTCCCCACGGGGAACTTTGTATAAAAATTGCAATAGTAATTTTTAATATTTCTTGTTTTAAATATTAAATTATATTTTTATATTATTAAAATATGTGTTTTAATTTTTTAACCTCCAAAGAGTAAGAATTAATTCGTTTACAAATTGTATTCCACGGTAATTAAGTAGGCTATAGACAAAGTCATACTGCAGCGGTATTATAGTTGTAGCAAGTGAGGATCGGCTCGACCACGGAAGGTCTCGCTCTTTCAGAATACCAGTTAAAATAGCGTTAAATAGCTGTTTAATATTGCTGTGTTTCGTATTGTGAGTGTAGAAAATCGGAGACCCTTTTTACTGGAAATGAGGCTTGATGGAGGATGAAGATGTCCATGGGCCACACCAATGTTTATTTGTATTCTATAAACATTTAGGTAATGGTAAATTAAAGTAATTTTATAACGTGCACGGTTAGATATGGAGTCTCTTCCTCAATAAATTCTCAAGTGGTATTGGAGTTAAAATGAGATCGTCACGTTGAACTACATTTCGATGAACTCAATGCTTGTGAAAACCGGATACCTCTGCAACTCATCAGCCTTGCGACAACCTTTATATTGTATGAAAATATATACAGGAGGAATCATACCAAGTTGCACGAGTGTTCATTTATTATTATTTAGCAAATCGGGAGTTGAAACAACCGACATAATCCTGCATCCTGTTTTCTGTTTTAGTTGTTTATCGATATTGACGAGTTTAATAAAAGGTTTTTTGATAAAAAATGTATATAACGAAGTATAATAGAACCAAAAAATCATTTATTAAACACAAAACATTGCCAGCCCTCTTATCAAGTGTGGCAACTATGGCAAATATTCCCCCTAGACATGTGTCATTCATTATCAGAGTGGTAGAGCCATGCTACATTTATATTAGTAGTATAATTGTAGCACGAATGGGTGGTCTGCTCGACTGGGGAAGGACCACGCTCTCACAGAATACCAGCGTGAAATAGTAGCTAATGCTGCTGTGTTTCGTGTGGTGAGTGTAGAGAACCGGAGACCCTTTTTACTGAAAACGAGGCATTCCATCTTAGTCCTCACGGGTGACATCGCTTCTGCATTTTGATTGGTAATCGAGGATAGATGTAGCTGTCTATGGGCCGCAGCAACTACTTACCATCAGGTGGACTGTGTGTGTGACCCGATCATTCAAGTATTGATTCGTCTTATAAACCGGGTCATTTAGGTCGATCATTTAAATGGATTATTACGAGTTTCAGTACTCGGACCCGCTCAATGTAATCGATCGTCGGATAATACTCTTTGGTCGTAGATAACGTCAATTTTTTGATTCAGAGTATTCAAGAAATGTAATTGCAATCATCAATACTTTGACGCGACTCGGGTAAATTGAACGAATCATTCACTATTGACACATGTCTAATTCCCCCTATGAGACTATCTATGGGAATTAATATAGGCTGTAACAGCGACGGTAAAAATTGCAAAGCTGAGATAATGCATTGATAATAAGAAAAAACTTATACAGGTCCGGCAAATTGTTGAGTGTAAAACCTAAATCCTTGTACTAGTTAATTTTGTCCCCACTTCCAGTCCTGAAGATTCGAGTTCTTTCTATTGCATACTGTTTTTTACAATCAATTGGTGTAGTTTTATTTTTTAAATTGTAGTTAGTGGTAAATTGATTATTAGAATCATCGGCTAAGTATTCTATTGTACAATTCATTTTCAGCCGACTTCAAAAAGACCTTGTTACCTCTGAACTTTTTTCTGGGTGAACCGATTTTGATGACTCTTTTTTATCTGAAAACTGATGCTTCTCGTGTGTTCCCATATAAATTTGATCAAGATCTGACACGTAGTTTTTGAGTTATCCTAAATTAATGCATATTTAATTAACTTTGAATACATCGATTTCTCATTTTATTTATATTGAAGTCGGTTGTACAAAATTTTTAATTTTACCACGGGATTTATATTTTTTGACGGGGATATTATAAATCTTACCTAAGATTAATAAAATTCAAAAGAATGAAAATTCTTATAAGATTAAAAATTTATTTTAAATTAATAATACTTTTTTATTTTCGTGATACGGAATTTGAATTCCATATTAGAACAAGCAAACCCACCTATTATTATTAATCTATAAGGTAGGCCTATGTTCAACAGTAGACTTTTATAGGCTGTAATGGGTGACCGTACTCGGCGTGCACCTCTTTACCGTTTTGTCCTTTAAACATGCTGGTATATACCAGATACGCTTCTACAATTTTTATTTTTTCCAAATAATTTTTCCCTCGGCCTTACAGTCTTTTCCGCCGTGCATGTGAGAAGTGAGAATTTTAAAATTGTAAGTAACAACTTAAAGGTCCAAGCTATGGAGGCTTGGAGGCTTGGCTTGGATCTCCAAGGAAAACGAAGTGTAAGAAGAACATCTTGGCTGAATAACCTACGCCAAAGGTTTGGAAAGAGCACCCGTATCAAAAATTCAAGTTGCCGCAATGATCGCCGACCTTCGAAAGAAGATGGAACTTTAAGAAGAAGACGTATGGAGGCTAAAATATATTTTTGTTTCCTTATCGCCACCGTTTCCGTTACAGCATATGAAGAGTCCCCTGCTGGATATAGTTGCCGTGCTTCACAGGCGGGTCGGAACCGCAGCTTTTGTTTCTTAGGTGTTATTGGGAAGACTCTGTTACCCAACTGCAGGTTCGTTTCTCTTTTTTACTTTTACTTCTTAAACCTGCAGGTTTCCGTGGTAAATTAGGATTTTAAATTGCAATTACCTTAATTAATAATTTCATTAGTTTTCATTAGTTTGAGTTCGATCGATTATTCTCTGAGTTCGGTTCTATTCCTGATGACTATTATGGTTTATTTGATTAGATTTTCCAATAAACTCATATTTGTTAAAAAGTCTAAAACTTTCATATTTATACGTTTTGTGAGTTGTTTTTCTGAAACAGTAGAACATTATACGACTTGTAATTCAGTTTGGTAAAAATTTTCGTAAAAGATGGATGACATCAGTGCGAACGCGGTGGACATCATTCAAGAATCTCAGTAACACGGTAGCAAAAATAAACGGGACGTTTTTTAACGCATTTTTTATTCCGTGTGAGCAGTAATACAGGTCTAGAAATACCAGTATCATTGCGACCTAAAAGATCTATTGTGATCGCTGCTATGGCTAAGTTCACTGCTCAGCCCTATGTATTCAATGAATAGAAGGAGTTGCAAAGCTATTTCACTTCTTCAGGGCGAAGTACTTAGTTTCCAAGATGAGTGTTACGATTGTGCATTAAGGGTCCATAATCTGTTAGGATGCAACAGTGTCCAGTCAGGCCAGAATACGTAGTTTATTCTTCTTCCCAGGGCCTCTAAAGCAAATTTACTATCATAAGCCCGGATTAAGGTTCTATTTAAGTTTGGTGTATCAGACCAGATCTTAAGTGATTTATTGTGATAAAGCGTTTCAGAGGTTAATAGGGCTAGACTTTTTGAGATTCCACAAGATGGCCAAATCGTGTATTCATTGAGCCCTCTCGTGCGAGCTTGTTGGGTTATATTGCCTACAAAATCCGCCTGACCCAGAACCTATCTTAAAGCGACCCTGTTGTTACATCCCAGGGTGTTTAGACGGTTCACGGAGTCTCCAAAAAGCTTTGAGTTCAGTAAGTTTATCTCAGCGCTAGCAGTACTGCTGGATTAGATATTTTATATTACATGGTTGACGAAGTGTTGGCAAAATTTCTAACTAATAAAAATCTGAATAAGTAAATTTACCCAAATTCATACTAAATTTGAATTCTAGGCGTTCCCCATTAATTCCAAAACTTTATTTTGTATTATGTTATACATTTAATAAACAAATTTAAAACCTTAGACATCATCCATAATATTATCACGCGCAATAAATCTAAGTTTGTTGTTACAGAGTATATAGGCTCTATAAAACTGGTTGCATAATTTTTGGGTATATGCATAATTACTTACAACAAGATAAAATTATTGAGATAAGAATGTGTGGATATAATGAGATTTCTTAGAATTATGTTTAAATAACAAGGTTAAATTGTAACTAGTGTGGAGAAAAATATTCTACTTGTGAATTTATTCTCATATCTTTTCACTAGATCTATCGCTTTCTTGACTTACAAAAAGTGACAAGAGAAATCTTCGTTGATAAAGGCAGAAAACTTTGAAGGCGTTTTAAGGAATGAAAAATATAATTGATTTTTCTGCTGATTTCCGGGACATGTGCATTCCATGGCAACTTGCAATCTATGATGATGATCAGATTCTTAATAATTTCTAAAATGCTTAGTGGAGTTCCATTAATATTCAGTGTTGGGAGTGATGTAAAATCAAGTAAGTTACGAGTAAGCCTGGTGCCTATAATCATTGCTTGTGATTTTTTAGGGTTTATAGCAATTTCATATGATTTTATTTTGATCTTTATATTTATTTATTTTTTT